TACTATATATATATAATAATATATTATATATATATATATATATATATATATATATATATATATATATCTTATATTTTTTTCTTATGAATCATATTCGTCGAAATTGAAAAAACAAATTGTACGCAGAATTAATTAGTAAACATGATTGCTCATGACGACAATTCATTTTTAATCTTAAATACATATAACGCGTTTTATTAATAATTAGATGAATCATGAAACGATTGGAACTAAAAAGCACGTAGGAAAAATTCTTTAACATCACAAATGACGCATTTGAAAGAATTAAAGATATTAGCATAATTGATCTAACATTTAAAGATCAAAACATGCAATTTAAAATGAATAATAGTATTAAGATTTTATTAAATATAATACATTTTTTTATGGAAATGTCGATATTTATTAGCGTTTTAAATATTTAAAATAAAATAAAAATAACGCTTCGACGATGTAGTAAAATTATTTTGTATTACAATTTTTTACATGTTCAATATTTTATAAATAATAATAAATATTTTATTACTCTCAAATCAAAATTGTTGAATTAAAGTTTATTTCTAATTAATTTAGAAAATGGTATTTCTTATCATCCACATATGTATAAACTTAAATCTATAAACTACAAAAAATTTAATTTAATTTTAAACTTTAATTTGAAATTTTTAATGTCAAATCTTAAACCTAATAACTTCGCGTGACTCATAAAACTTTTCTTAAAAGTCTCTCAAAATGAAATTGCCTCTAACACAGTCAAGAGATCCGTAATTAGCATAAACAGCAACACCGGTAGGACTGGTTTTTGGAACTATGATTTGCATTTACTCAATGTTTAAGATGATTCTAGTAAAACTAGTTAGTATTCAATGTGTGCGAACTGCAAGCATGTCAAGGACTCTTGGCTAATTGTTGTTCATCGTACACAATTTTTGATACAAAGAAAATGTACCCTTAGAGAATTGAACTTTCTGCATCACAATCCCGACAAAAATAAACCTAATTTATTTTAAAGAAAAGAAAATAAGAAGAAACATATCCATTAAAATAAAGAAAACATATATCAGTAATATGAATAGCCATCTTTTTATTATTTTCAATATTTCCAATAATCAGCCTATATTTCTGTGCAAAAAAAATAAAAAAGCACTTTCGAAAATCAACTCACACGATAAAATTGTCAATTATATAATACAATGCAATCAACATTAGCTTGTTTAAATATTGTGAATGTGATAATTTCTTTTAAATACTTCAAAAAAAATCATCACATTAAATTGTATCTTAATAAACATTATATTAGAAATATTACATTTATATATAATTCATAACCTTTACATGCATGAGTTTCTTATTTTTCATACCTGTGTATTCCTCTTAATTTTTAATTAATCCGTTTTCCATTTATCATATCTAACGATTATAACAATAATCATATCTGCACCAGTCTGTCATAGTTCCAATATAGTTATGTATTAAGTTACATAGACGCTTGACGATTTGCTTCTTGTATATGCGACATGCAAATTTAATAAAACTAAGTTTTTCATTTCTAATTACTAATTAATTGTTATGCAACAATTTCTCGCACTAGAAATATGAATTACTTCTTCCTTCCTCTTCCGCGAGCTGTTCACTGGCGCGCATCTATTTGATCGGAATGCTGCGAGCGCAAGTCAACATGAATGAAAAACAATGAAAAACGAACAAAAACACCTGCTCGGTTCCTTGACCGAGAATTCCTTGACCACGTACGATATACGGGCGATATCGCTTCTCACGTATGCATCCTGACCCAAATATCCACCTCTCAAAATCCGTCGGTATAAAAAGTCTGTCAGCGTTTAAAGATACGTACTGTTTGTTTCAAGCATCACTCCGTTAAGGGACAGCCATCGTGGAATCTTCAACATCATGGTAATAAACTATACAGCGAATAAATTATTAGCGTTCTAAATTAATCTAAGTTATACCTCATTTATAAGATTTTTTTAAAAATAAATGTAAAAGAAAATAACGATATAATTCCCCTCATGAAAATCCTCATTGGAAATCGGGGCAGTTGGCTCTCGTTTTGTTATTTAATATCTCGTCATGCAAAGAGAGAAGATTCAATTTTATCAAATATGCATATCACGAAATTAATTATTAATAAATGCAAATTAATTAGTAATAATTAGTAATAAATACGGAGAGGAAGAGATGCTATATGTTAATCGATTTAAAAAGTAAAAGTATGATCGTGATATCGGCATTTCCATCAGAATCTATAACATTTCAAGCATAAATTTCGAATAATAATTCATAGTTAGTATCGAGTTCCTGATCTATCGCCTCTATTAATACGAAATTGTTGCGGGTTTTACGCGGATAAACACGGAAAATCACTGCGATCATCACGCGGCAATGAGAAACGATAAAGCCGGGGCGATGCATTATTCACGCAGTTAACTCGATTGTCAATCGTCAGCTTCCATCGAAACTTACTTGCAAATTAAATAAGATCGTTCGGTTTTCTCTTTCCGCGTGCGCGATTGATCTCAACGTAAATTAGACCGCGGACGATTTCTGCATTCGAACGAGCAGCAACCGCGCATTCTCGAAAATTACACGGCGAGAACAGATTACGAATTAAAGAATACAGTTGTATCTGCTGTTATTTTCGTATTATTCCGCATTTTCGCGCGAAAATGTGCGGTTGATAACAGTGATAATTATAATCGCACTCGGCGCAGCAATTTATGGTTGGCGCGACGACATCATTTTTTTTGTCGAATATGCCAGTTTGCTGATGAGGCATTAAAAGGCTGTCTCTATCGGCTATTTTATAACGATACCTATTTAAATGGGAAGCGGTTAGTGTTATAAAATCCCGGGAAAACATACTAAAAGTAATCTTATATTTTACTGTACTTTGTTTCACAAAGTGCAGTAAATGCATTAAATTCATAAAATCTTTTATGAATTATCAAATTGCACATGAGCTAGCGAAAACAGATTTATTATTTCTATTTGAACAATTTTAAGTTACGATTAAGATAAATAAACGCGCTTTAGCAATAACAGTTAGATAAATCCAAGTCAATTGCCTTTGCATTGCATTGCAACTTAATTGAAAGTGAAGAATAAAGATATTGCATTTATATTAGGTAGGTTATTTATCCCTCGGACTAAGTTTGCATAGTTCAAATAGTCATAGAGAAAGTTCTATCCACGATGGTTTTTACCTTGCGTCGAGGAGTAGCAATTTAGACGATCGGTAAGAGTAAAAGTTCACCATCAAAATATCTGGCGGGAAACAAATTTTTATCCCGACATTTGCACATGCAACGAAACAAAGTGCAAAAGACTCGTGCTACGAATTGTCCTAATCGTGTACCAATTAGTGGAAAAACAGGTAGAACCAGTTGGTTAGATCATATTTCATAGGCCGAGATGTAGCGAAATTACAAAATGTCCGAACAGTTTAGGTTGCAAAAAGATAACGAAAGTATTCTTCATTATCTCAATATGTAAAAATAATAATATATAGACACTGATAATCAAAATTGCTTTATCGCCTTGGTTTCCACCGGTAACATTTAATATAACTTGAGGAATTTAAAAATGTTCGAATTAAATTATGGCGAGTAAAATAATATATTTTTAAATATATACTTCAAAATATTATACCTTTCTTTCTTTGCGTAAACTTTAAACCACCATTAAAAATGACATGATGTATTGCGAACTATGCATCTCCGTTTTCAGATCTCTCTGAGAAAAGTTATTATCATTATTGCGGCCGCCGTAATCGCGTTTGTACACGCGATACCGACTCCTAGCCCAGTTTCATCCGGGGCTATTACGATTTACCCGATACCCCAAAGGCCGCCCTACGCACCAAACCCATGGATCTACCCAAAACCCACCACGGTGCAACCTACAGGACGCTGAACGACAATCTTGGATCGCCGCCGAGTTCTTTTTTTCTAGAATTACGGGTATTTCATAAGGCTGACTTTGTAACCGTTCCTTTTCAACTCTCGCATACTCGTTAGTCTACTTTTAATGACTAATGAGCAAACGATTTGGATAATGAGCGTTTAACTTCTCTCAAACTCGCCAGCTTTGAATTACACGAACTTTGAATTAACATCGATAATTTGACGAACAACTGGTGATTATTCAGTCGCAATTAGCGGTAATAAAGCAAATTTATTCTTTAAATATACGAGAAAGTTATATTAATATTTTCACTTTAATTAATATCACTAGCGTAAATAAATAGATTATGTTTATGTCACGAGATTATATAAATCTAGTAAATTGTATCACGTGATTAAATGTATATATATATTGTTCTAAATTACATCCAGTTATTTAACCATCTTTTTATATAAAAAAAGTGAATGTTATATAAAGAAATTTGCAAAGATGTTAATTACAAAACGACGTACTAAACTCAGAATGTATTATTATGATTAATGTATTCTTTTATGTATTAATAAATTTCTTAAAATAAATTCTTGTCATCTATCGCTCTACATTATCTCTTGGATTAAATTTGTAATTAATATCGTAATCATTATTTTCTGTCTCATTACTTCTCTCATATTATTATATTATTTATTATATTATTTAAATAAAAACTCTACAGATTGTCGTATATTTGTATCATTTGCACTGGCGAGAGATGTTCGTGCAGATTTAACACACAAAAAAAAAAGGATTCTCGTTTACGCAAAAACGAAAAAACGACTACTCAACACAAGACGAATGGCGATTCTTAACTGTCT